CTAAATTTTTATTGAAAAATATTTAATTATTACAAAGTTATTAACAATCTCGTAGAGCACTAGAAAAAATTTCCTCCTCCATGGTCGGTTCGATAACTCAAAAACGGATCATTTGAAAATAAAAATCCAAATTGCTTTTTAATCAGTAAGGATGTAGTTATCGTCGCAAGTACGGAATTTTAAAAATTTTTATTTTAAAGATTTTTTTTAGCCGAGTTAAAACAAAAAAAAAACAATAAGAATAGTGAGAAAATTTTCAATCAGTCGCCATTTTTTTTTTAAATTAAAATTTTTCAAATTCCGTACGTGCGACGATAACTACATCCTTACTGATTAAAAAGCAATTTGAGTTTTTATTTTCAGATGATCTGTTTTTGAATTATCGAATCGATTATGGAGGGGGAAATTTTTTCTAGTGCCCTACGAGATTGTTAATAACTTTGGAATAATTAAATATTTTTTAATAAAAATTTAGGGTATTAATCTTTAATGTACCCTTAATCAAATAAAAAAAAAATCCGATTCCCAAATTTCTTTATTTTTTCTGTCGAAAAAATTCCCGAAAATCACCTCTTTTTTTCGATCGTCGCAGTGGTGTTCCCCCTTAATGTAACAAATATTTTTTTAACTTACACTTTCAAGCAGTTGTGATTGTTCTTCAAAATTTAATAAATTTAAATATAATCTCAAATCACCAACTGTACAGCCTTTGTTACCAAATTGCTCAAAGTACAATCGCATCAATTTTACCGGTTCCATAATAGCCCGTAAAGCAACATTACTGGAACCAACGCGTTTTAATAATTCAAACCGAGCTAAATGTGGAGCTCGAGCTTTTTTTCCACAAGTTTCTGCTATGCTATCCAAAAATTCTAAACACTCACTGGGCTGTTGATGTTCTAGTGCGGCGGTCAAGTAACTTAGATAATGAGACCAATTATCATTACTGTAAAAATAATAGCTTTGTTAGATCTTTTATTTTTATTACATTACGATCAAATATATAGATAAATAATTACTCTTCGTTTATTAATTCCTTAAAAGCTGTTGTAGCTTCTTCGTATCGTTGTAATTGTAAAAGAAGAGCAGCTTTACGCTGTGGCACCCCTGAAAGTCGAGCAGCTAATGGTCCAGATAAAACATCTAAAATTTGTTCATTTTTTCCTTGAAGTTCCAATATCATAATATACAACTGAACTTCTTGCTCTGCTTCTAATTTTCCTTCATTGACTAATTTTAACACCTATTTTTTAAATTGAATCAATTGAAATTAGTTTCATTTACATAGAAAATGTAAATACTATTTTACCATTAAGTACTAATAAAACAATTAAATTGTCTTACTATGAATATTAATTACTACACAGAAAAAAAAAAACTTTTTGCACCAAGAAAATTTTAAGGAAGACAAAAATTATTTTGGAACAAGAAGAAATTTTCTTTGCTCAAGAAACTTTGACTTCATTCAAGAAATTTTCAATCTTCCTTAATATTTTCTTGAACCAAGAAAATTTACCCTCCAGTCAAGAATTTTGTTTTTCAATGTACCTTTAATGCTACTACGATTGTTAAATTCAGATTTGAAAAATCACAAGCTTTGTAATAATTACAAGTCATTTTTAGTATAATGAATTGCTTTTACATTGTCAGAATTTTTATAAATAATCAAAAGTTAACACTTTATCAGCTTTTGATTGGCAATTCGCGAAATTCGTCTAGTTAAAAATTTTCATTTATTTGAAAGTTAATTCAACTGTTTTAGTTTAATTTAATCATTTTCACAATTAAACTCATTTATGGAAAAACGTTTTAATTTTAATTAAAAAAAATTAAGAAATTTCTCCAATTTTTTTAAGCTCCAATAAATTTTCAAGAAGATTTTTTTGCCTCTTTTTACTAAGAAAGAAACGTAATGTAAATTAAAAAGGAGTAAATTTAAAAATTATAAAAGCATTAAATAGTCTTTACCATTCTCTCAGCAAGAGGTAATATAATATTTTTGGCTAAGGCATCCTCAGCTTGTATGGCTTGCATAACAACACTCATAACAGCCCAAAAATAGTAGGGATTTTTTGGTTTTAATTTGTACAAAGCGAGCGCTGTTTGCTGTTGCTTTTTAAAATCACCCAATCGTACATATGACATGAACAAATGTGTCAATAAATCCTCATTATTTGGATCGGCTTTAGCTGCTGCTTCATAAACTTCTCGTATTTTGTCAGCTAAAAAATTTAACCATTATTTAATAAGATACTTTTATTTAAAATAGTAATTAGAAAAACATGAGAAAAAAAATTATATATACGTTGATGAATTTCCTTGTAACAAATGCTCATTGCTTGAAGCGTTGAATCGTCACATGGTACTTCCGAACGTACTTTATCCATAATATCCTGACATTTATCTTCTTTTCCTAATCGTAATAAAGCTAAAGCCTTTAATACTCTCGCACACTGATTATCCGGTTGTTTTTTGAGTACTTTATCCGCCTCTTGGAGTGCTTTTTTGTTATTTCCATTGTCTAGCCAGTCTATAAAAATAAAATTTTTTTTTTTAAATATCGAATTGTGGTGACTACATTACATAACCTTTTCGCCGGTAAAATAAATCAAAATAATAATTTAGTATTATTTTATATGACTGAATTATAAAATTATAATTAAATATTTACCATAAATTGGTCGTAAGCGACGTTCATTTACTGTATTATTAATATGAGCCTTAGACGCCATCGTATAAAATAACTTTACAAGATAAAGACGGTTTCAAACACACAACATTCTTCCGGGACTTGGCTGCTCTAGCACTCTCTAGCACTTACAAATATACCTAAATATACTATACATTCGAGTATAAATATATTATATGTATTTAAGCCTTTTGTGTATACCATACACTCATTTTAGTCGCTTCAGTCTGCTTCAGTCTGTTCAATTTTCAATACCAGTCAGATGCAAAACCATCAAGTGAGATATTAAATTTATTTCTCTTTGTTATTGTATAACATGTAAAAAAAAAGTTACGATTTTTTAATATGATTATTTCCGACGTTAAGTAGGTTAATTATTAAAATTTACGTATTTAATTCAATAAGATAGTAGTACTTATCGTAAAAAATCAAAAATAAAATAAATTCGCCATTAGCTTCTTAATGCGCAATCGCGTTGAACTGGCGGAAAAATTCAAATCAACAAAAGTAACTTGTATGAAAATAAGATAATTGGCTAGATAGATTGGGTTGCGGTCAACCAGTCAGATCGACAACATTCCGGATTATTAAAACTCTAGAAAATTTAAAATTCCGCTACATTCAAAGTTTATAAAAAACATTAGCTTAAATAGAATACCAGCCGAAAAACAATTGTGCAAATTATAAAACACCGGGTTATCAAATATAAGTAAATATAAATCTTATATTCCTCAAAAGTTAAAATTAATTTGATTTCGAAAAAGGTTCGTTCCGACGTATATTCATCCTAATACTCATCTATTCGAATAATGATTCGGCCGAAAATTTGGTTACTCATCCAAAAAGTTGGAGATTTTTCTCAGATGGTCCACATTTACAAGCATGAAATTTGAGTGTTTTTCATACATGCTTGTAAATTAAAATAAAATTAACTAATTTAAAATTAATTAAAATAATTGATTAAAAAAATTTTCTAATCTAAATATAAAGTTATTTACATTTTCGGCTAAATGAGTGTTCGTCTGTTCATTCTTTTTGGCGTACAAATTTTCGTTGTTATGTTTTTTAATTTATTGAGACTTAGTGACTTTGAAAGATTCTATTAATATAGCTTTAGTTTTTTCTTTATTTAGGATTATATTTTTCGGAATTTTAAAATTTGTAAAATTAATTATTTTAAATTACATTTAATATTTACTTTCTAAGTTTTAGTAATTTATTAATTCGGAATGTTGTCAGTCTGACTAGTTGACTGCAACCCGATAGATTTTATCTAGTAATAAAATGGATGTCTTGAAACCAGAATTGATATGGGTTGAAGATCGCTGTTATCGATTTCCGGATAATACTGTTTGGTCAACAAAACAAATTAATGGACCATATGAGGAAGATTACGATCAAATGGAAGATAATATTAATCAAGAAGTTAATAATAGTGACTGTAATATAGTTATTAAAACTCTGAGAGACGGAAGGTGTCAACATGATGCTACTATTCCTCAGTAAGATATTAAATTTATTAATTTTTTAACTATAAAATTCTTATTACATATGGGGCATTCCACGCCAAATCGACCACTTTTGACCCTGACCCCTTTTGATTTGGCTGAATGTTTACCATCCTTTTCTACCCTATCAAAAACGTCTCTCATAATTTTTTCAAATTTTTTTACCCAACCAAAAAAAAGTTCCGAATTTTTTAAAAAAACCGCTTTTTTATTTTTAAATTGCCATAACTTTTTCAAAAATTGGCTTATTGGGACGTTTATTTTTTCAAAATTTTTGTTTTTTAATACACTTTTGAAAATAAAAAAAAAATTTGATAGAGATTATTCAAACCTATCTTCATCGTTATT